GAAAGAGGAAAGAAAAAAAAAAGTTGGAGCTTAGAGCTTCTGAACTAGCCAGCTTAGGCAAGTGGTAGGAGCTCTACCCTCAGGACCATTACGATCAGCCTGGGCTGGCTGTGGATGTGGGAGTATTAGAGAGAACAAGTCTGAAATGACAGAGGAGTACAGGAGGCCCCCTCTGGCTTTCGAAGGGTCATTTTTTTCCCCTCACTTGCAAAATTGAAGGGGCAATTGGATGGTTGAACTTTGTAAAATGATCCACCTCTGGTTGTAAAGAATCATATGGTATAGCTAGTAATTCTATTGCACATGTATATGTGTATATATGTGTGGTGTGTGTGTGTGTGTGTGTGTGTGTGTGTGTGTGTGTGTGTATGGAGAGAGGGAGTGTGTGTAGAGAGAGAGAGTGCATTTTCCCTCAGTACCTCCGTATCCATGGGGGACTGGTTCCAGGACCCCTGCAGATACCAAAATACACGGATGCTCAATCCCTTATATAAAAGGGCATTGTATTTGCATATAACCTATGTATATCCTCCTCTATACTTTAAATCATCTCTGGATTACTTTTAATATCTAATACAATGTAGATGCTATATAAATAGATCCCAGCGTGACAAATTCACGTTTTGTTTTTTGGAACTTCCTGAAATTTTTTTCTAGTATTTTAAATCCACAGTTGAATTTGTGGGTGTGGAACTGGTGGATATAGAGGGGAGGGCTGATTATACATCAGGTATCTATAAGTAGCTACAAGGTATCTATAAGTAAGTAAATTAGAATGATTTTTAATTCTTGAAGTGATGAGTTTTCTGGTTCACACAAGTGACAGCGATAGTGTAACCTGGCTGTGTGAGGTAAGTATGGTTGGAGCCATTGGCATCCTGCACTGCTCCTGAGCACTGTGGAGGTAATTTAGGGGGGAGAAGACTCACTGCAATAAAACAGAAACTTTTAATATTCCATTCTTCTGGGAATCCAGGAGTTAATGGTTCTTCCTTTATATGGCAACTCTTTTTTTTTTCTTTTCTTAGCACTTTATCCATTAATTCTAACAAGAGACTGCCACTGTTAAAAAATTCACCAGTGCTTGCAGACAGCATTGGTATTGCAGACTCTCTAAACAAATAGATATTTAAACAATACAGCTTAGAGAAGCGTACAGTACAGCTTAAAGAATAATGCTTGTTGCCTCATATTTTGCTGTGGGATATGCAAGACACTATAAGAAATACTGGCATATTGTCTTCACCCCCCAAAAATACAAGAGACATTTGTTTCTCAAGATTTTTATGGGTATATGTAAATATCTGGAGCGTTATCAAACAGAAAGTTGGATTAATCTGTGTGTGTGTGTGTGTTTATATGTATATACATATGTGGTATGTATGCATATGTATTTGGATACAGATTTGGATAAAACTGTATATTTGTCAGTAGGTATATGTCTGAATACACATGTACCTATATACATAATATATGTGTATCTATAAAAATAATTTTACATCTATAAAGTATACATGTATATATGTAAGAAATGCCTACATTTACATCATTGTTTGTGGATTTCCACATAGCTTCTCTGGCTCAGGCATTCCCAAGCTCTTAAAGTTTTGCTGAACAGGAGGACACATGTCATCTTCATGCTATTGCATGCCTGTCCCCATGGAGGGTGAGGGGTATCGGGGAGACTCAGTGAGTGGCGTCATGGCCTCTCTCTCTTGGATCCCGGGCATACGTGGTGATGCATGTGCAGTGGACTATTCACTCTTACCCTGTGAAGGCCCAAGGGCACTGACCCTGTCTTGAACATCTTCTAGCAATTGATACCTAGCAGTTGATAGCTGTTGGTGAATATTTAGCAGTTATAAACTTTGCTGGATAAAAGGATTC